AGGGCTCCCTTAGTGTGTGCCCCACAGAGGCAGCTGGGGGTGGGGGGGCTGGCCCGCACCATGGGCCAGCAGCCACCCTTGCGAGCTGAGCTGGGCTGGAAACATTCGGCTCAGCCTCAGCTGTCAGCTCCCTGTCCCCAGCCTGGGGAATGAGCTGCTGGCGGCACCACATGATTCATCACCAGGCCTGCCTGCACCCCAGGCCAGCCGCCCTCGCCCTGCTCAGCACCTGCAGGCTGCCAGAAAACACATGTGACCCCTTTGGGTCAGGCCCAGCACTGAGACCCCAGGCCAGGCTGGTGGAGGACAGACAGACACAAGTGCCATGCTTTCGGGGAGGGGGCACCCAGCCCCTAGGAAAAGCTAGTGAGGTGAGGTGGGTTAGGCCTCCATCCTATCCCCATCTCCTTCCCCCAACTCCCCCCACAGCACCGGACACAATGTCGGCTGGGACTTTTCCGCTCGATGAGCCCCTCCCCTCCCCCTCCCCAAAGTGGCTGCAGCTGTCAGGGCCGCAGATTGGAAGTGCAGGTATGGGGCTGGCCGGCTGCCCACCTCCCTCCCGTGTCTGTCTGCAAGAGAGGAAGCCAGCCCACCTCTGGAATCCTTCACTCTCTCCTCGTTCTGCCTCTCCCACCTGTCCCCCGGGAGCGTGGGGTCAGCCGCCTCGCTCAGTCTCTCTCTTCCCGGCCCCTCTCCGATTACAATGCGGGTAGTGTTCACTGCTGCTCAGCCCCCCCCCAACCACCCTCTTGTCTCAGAGCTCATGGCCTTCCTGTGCTGCCACCTCCCCCTCATGGGGTGTCTTATCTCTCAAAGTGCTCAGGACTAGCCAGCTGGCCTGGCCTCACATGCCACACTGACCCCAACAGAAGGTTCCAGATGGGATGCTAGGCTCTGAAACAAACACTAGAGGCCTGTTCAACAGACCAGAGGGAGACAGTACAGTGTCTTCCTGTTTTGAGGCTAAACCAGATGAGACCCAGCAGGGGTAGACTAGGCAGGTACAAGCTCCAAACCTACCGTCTCCTTACCAGACTGCTTCCGGTCCCCCATGCCCTCTACCATGCTGACCATCCATCCCTTGAGAGGCTGGCTGAGCCCACTCAAGCTGCATACACCTGGGAGCCTACTATTGCTTGCACCTCTCTAGCAGGAGAGCAGAGAGCCAGAGTCTTTAGGATGGGTGGACGACGCTCGGGAGAAGGAAAATAGCTTGCTTGTCCCTCTGCTGGGGCTACACGGTGTTCTCCATGCAAGCGGGAGACCCCAGACATTCCCACAGGTACTAGAGTTGGACATTATCTCTAGAGACTGAGTCTCACTAGATGAGCTCGGCTGATGCTTTAAGTAGAGCGGGGGTCCAGAGCACAGCCCATGCTCATCCCCTCACCAGCCCTCCAAACTCTAGACATCTCCAAACAATTTCCCTACCTCTAGGCACTGCCCACACATATGAGGCTGCTGAGTGTGACTCCTGGCCCTGCGCAGCCAGCCTCCTCAAAGGGTGGGTACCTGTTTTGTGCCTCCAACAGCTCAATGTAACCAGCATTCCTTGCCTTTCAAAAACACGCCCTTGCTGCACTCCAGAGCTGCTCTCCAGTTGTCCCCAGCCCTAGCAAGAGTATAGGGACCTTTACACGCCATAGCCGGGACCAACTCGAGCCCTATGAGAGACATGCTTTGTCTACATGCTCCGCTCCTGCCTTCCTCCCAAGGCACACCCCTGCTGGTTTGGGCACTCTGATACAGTGTGGCTCTTAAACCATCAGGCCAAGATCAAGAGATAGTACTAAAGGTCTACCTGGGCAACAAGTACACAGTAGTCACAGAGACACATGCCCAACGATGCCCTGTAATCACTGGTGAAGCCCTAGGTTGGGCAGCCCCAGTGGGATGGGGCTAGACCTGAAGGATTAGTCTGGGTCTAGCCAGAGGCCCCATCCGGAGGCAGGCAGGCATAAGGCTAGCCTCCGGTGGATGGCCGCCAGAGCAGTCTGTGCAGACTCGGGTGCCTTCTACAAATAGCAGGGAGGGCCACTCACTCACTGGAAACCTGAGCCCACAGGCTCCCCTGCCAGCAGTAACACAAGCAAGCATGGAGAGAGTAGAGTGCACATAGGGAGGCGGCCAGGACACTGCCGGCAGGCGGGGGTGGCCCCGGAGGAGCAGAGACGGCCAGCGCACTGGAGGCAGCTGCCGGTTCAGTAGCTGGGAGAAGCCATTAACTGCATTTGGCGAGAGAGCAGAGGGGATCACAGGTTCTGGATGCAGGCAGGCCAGGCCATGTCCCTGTGGGATCTCGAGTTATAGATTGGGCAAGGCCGTGTGTGTGTGTGTGTGTGTGTGTGTGTGTGTGTGTGTGTGTGTGTGTGTGTGTGTGTGTTACATTAAGGCTGCAACAAAGACCCCAGACCCATTGCCTTAAGGAGACCAGTTCTTCCCAGACTTTCCAGGCCAGAATTCACAGCTCCCCTGAACTCCTCACACTGGCCACACTTCTTGAAGAGCAGGGCTGTAAGCCTGCGGAGCAGAGGCATGTGTGGGCTTCTCTGCCTGACCAGGCCCGGCCTTGGTTCGTCCTAGCTGCTTGATAGACGAGGAGGAGCAGCACTGGCCACTCACCCCCCTTCTACCCCAGCCCACCTCCCAGGGGTCTCCACTACTGGATGAGATCACGTCTATGAAGCCCCACTGCTGTAAGGAGTGAAGTGGCCATGTGGGGGCAGGGCAGCCACAGCACAGCTGCTCCTCAGGCCCCCACCCCACCCCACCATGCCTAGCAACTCATCTAGGGGGCTCTACCCCTACTCAGCTGAGCCCGAGTCTATAAATCGAGGGGAAGAGAAGGAGGGGCTAGCGTACAATCAGAAAACAGTGATCCAGGCTGCTCAGGTTAAGAGTCAGTGATGTTGGGGGACTTCAAAACACAACACTGGCAAATGACAACAGGGCTCAGAAGCTCTCATGTTCCCAAGAGTGTCTAGAGAAAAGGACAAAGTTATCAACGGGACACCTCCACCTTCAAATGGCAACAGGCTAGACAGGTACTCCCATTCCACAAGACTGTAGTCTCCCTAGGTCCCTACTGAGGTCACCACCACTAGGACAGACCACATCAACACCTTCCCAGCGCCCTGTCCAGAACCCTGCAGGAGGTCTACACAGCTAACTCTGCTATGTGGCTCAGGACAGCCAAAAATCCTGGGGTTGTTCCCACCAAAGACTGTCCCTCCAGAGGTGCAGAACATTTTCTAATCTTTGTAGGTGTGGGGCACAGCCACAGACAGCGCAGCCCTCAGTTCGTGAAGGACCCCAGATGCATGACTAGAGATGTCTGTTACCCTCAGGCCTCTCCATTAGACAGTCTGAGGGGAGCTGAGCTCCTGACCCTACCCTTAGCCAGGCACTGATGGCCACGACTCACTGCCTCTCAGCTGTAGCCACCTTGCCCTGAGAATAAGAAAGCCAATTGCAGCCTCTGGCAGGGAAGAAGCCCCAGGCACTCTGGGATGAGATGCCCAAGTCCACCTGGCCTGGCTCCTCAAGCAGAGCTTTGCAGGCCCTTCCAGCTGCTAGTCAGCTGCACTGGCAATCTCGGCAGATGGGCATCTATACCGCTGAACCGTCACTCAGACTGACACATGTGACATTTACCACAGCACAGGAGAAAGGAAGCAGGCCTCACACCATATCACAGCACAGCATGAGGCTGCCCGGCCTTCTCCAAGGGCCACTGGACAGGCCCACTGGGGTACACCTCCCTGAGGGCAGGCAGGGCCAGGCAGACCTCTTTCAAGGCACTGACCAGTTCTGGAAGCCCCTCCCCCGACTCCTATCCTCCATATACAATCATCATTGATTTCTCAAAATACCAAGCATAAAAAAGTGGCCGACAGGATGTAGCTGCCGACAGCCAGGGCCCCCGTTGGGGGGAGGGGAGACAGGCAGGGAGCCGTGCTGTGCGGGCCCCCCTCGCCGGTGCGCCCGCTGCTCCGGCCAGGAAACCAATTTATTTTGTTTTGTCTCTGTTCTCTGAACACGCAGCAGAGACTGGATCGGGCTGTCGGCCAAGGCTCCTGTAGACACTGCCAAGAGAGCTTGAAGGTGGGGAGGAAGCCCAGCCAGAGAGGGGGCGCGTGTCTCCCTGAGGCCTCAGGGACAGCCCCTGACAGGCAGGCAGGAAGAGCTCCTGAGAAGAGGACCCATCCCTGTAGGCCCCACACTAAAGCCAACATGAGACTCCCAGGCTCACATTCTGAGCTATACAGTGGCCACTGCTCAGCCCTGGGACCAGGCCTCACCAAGGAGGGACAAGCTGCCAGGCCAACCACCTCTGTGTGCACAGCTTTCCAGAGCTTCCAGATCCTGCTGGCACCCTGGGCACAGTCCAAGCCCTCTCAGTGCCTCCATTCCCCGGGGACTCACGGGAACCCCAGCCTAGCATGACGCGTTCCTCTCATGGTGTAAATTCCTGTCCTACATAGAAAAGTCAGGAAGGTATCACAGCAGTCATCACCAAGAAACCAGAAAAGGGAACAAAGAGATGCCAGGCCTGCCGTTGGTACTACTGTGGCTACCTCAGACAAGGTATGGACCGAATCATGGCAATCCATGCCTGCCACTCTCAACTCTGAGTGGCAACACAGGCTACGCCACGGCGAAGGGAGCAACTCTGACCCTCTGTGCCCACAAGACACACAAGATACTGCCAAGCCACGTGCAGCCTCTCCTCCAACCTGACAATGACACATGCGTACTGCTTCAGTCATCTGTTCCAGCCCCCCAAATTGTTCTTCCAGATTGGAGGAGGGCCTGAGCCAGGCCGCCTACTCGGAGGGGGCAAGCGCAGCCGCCTCATGAGAAGTTGGGTCTAACAAACAGCAGGGCCCCTGCAGCAAGGCCAGAGAACACCCCAGTGCACTGCTAGCTTGAGGCGCAGCCCCAGCGGGAGGACTCTCATCTCCAATAGCAGGGAATCACGTTCGGCTCAGTCCTACCTCCTCATCAGAGCTGTCTTCCTCATACTCATCTCTGGTCAGAGCGCCCTCCTCCTCTGTCCTTGGACCAGGGGGGCCTGCCTGTGGAGAGAAAGGGGGAAAGTTACTTTGGGGGTCCCTGGAAGTCCTCTGACTCTCAGGAGGACCTAGCCCACAGTCCAGACCTCTTCCCCTGGTAAACTACTTGGGGAGAACCACTTTCCCAATGCTGGACCCTAGATCCAAACACCGTATGAAACACAATGCGCCCCAAATCTCTGAGTAGCCCCAACCTGGCCCACAGCCTCAGCGCAGGATGGAAACTGTCCTAGATCTCAGCACACTTCAGGGTCTCAACCACTGCAGCCTGCACCACGGAACCTACCTAGGGCTGCTGCCGCCAGGGCTGAACCACCCTCTGCTCTCTAGCAGTCAGACAGTGGGTAACTGGGTGCCAGGCCAAAAGGAAAAGGCTCCTAAGAGCAGTGGGAGGCAAACCATGGGGCTGGCTACCACTCACCCACACCACCACACTGATGGTAAAACCAGCTGCACTGGCCCAGGGCCACTGGCCCCAGATCTGGCAGGGAGACTACGTTCAGACCTGCTCAGACCTAGGAGCAGGGAACACAGGAGAGGCGTAAAGAGAGCAGTGCCACCACTGGGGTAATGTCAGTATAGACAGATGACATAGCTAAGAGGCCTCTATCATAAGGGCCACCACATTCAGGCCAGACCCACTGGGCAAGGACCTATAGAGAGAGGCCCCAACCCTCAAAATGCCTAGAGGCCCAGACCCCAGGCACCCTCCACACCCACCACAGCTGCAACAGTAGGTTGACCTTGTCCCCTGGGTCAGAGTGGGTGCCACTGAGGATGCACACTCCAACCTGGAGAACAGATTCTCCCTTGACTGGGGAGGCGGATGGCTCAGCCCAGATCAGGGTTATTGGCAGAAACAGAGCTGATGGAGAAAACAGGTTCACCTCTCACCCGAGGGCAGTAAAGTGCTCGGAGCAGGAACCCCGGTGTGTGGGCGCTCCCGCTCAAAGCCCCACTCCCTCTAACCCAGGCAAGAGCCAAGGGCCTGCTCTTCCTCCAGTCTGTTTTTCCCGTCAATACAGAAGACTAAGCTTTTCTCCAGGCTCAGAACAAGGCAGGATTCGGTTTCCATACCCCCCACTTCCTTGCTGTACACCAAAAATGGGTTACAAACGCCAGCTCAGAATAGGGCCCCTACACTCAGGGCCCCAGCAACACAACGGGCAGGCACATCTGTCTCTGCCTGAGCTCAGCAGGCCCCTGGACAGTGGCATGACAGCACCAAGCTTCTAATCAGCCACTGTCCCCAATGCAGGTGCCTATAGCCCTGGCTTCAGGCAGGGCCCCCAACACTTCACGTCTCCTCCCAAATGGTCCCTGCCGAGTATTGTACCTACATGAAGCACAACAGCTGTGCTCACAGCCCTTGATCAGAGTCCTTCGGGAAGCAGTTGGCAGCCAGCACTGTGTTTGTGTCCTTACTGCTCCAGTGCAGGGTATACCCGGGGAACCACACGCAGGTAAGCCTTTGACAAGGCTTGGAATCACCAATGGTGAGGCTCAGGAGTTCCCTCCACATACATGCTCTTCCCAGGCACCTGGAGTTAGTTCTAAGGAACAACAGCTTTATTCCAGACTCCATAGCTGCAGAGCAGGCCATGTCCACCAGAGGGCAGCACTGAACCAGAGCAACAACCCAGGAACCAGCTCCCTGGGAGAAACAAGTGGCCTGGGCCTGTGGAGGGTGGACATTTACTCTGGGAACAGATCTAGTGAAACACATTTTCTCAAATTCTCTGTCCCCCTTTTTGAAGCAAGGTATTACTCTTGTAGCCTAGGATTGATTCAAACTCTCTTCCAGATCCAGCATCCTGAGTACCGAGTTTACAGGTGTACACCTGTTTTCAACTTAAAAATTAGGGGCTGAGCCGGATGGCTCACGCCTTTAATCCCAGCACTCGGGAGGCAGAGGCAGGTGGATCTCTGTGACTTCGAGACCAGCCTGGTTTACAAGAGCTATTTCCAGCCGGGTGTTGGTGGCTCACGCCTTTAATCCCGGCACTTGGGAGGCAGAGGCAGGCGGATCTCTGTGAGTTCCAGGCCAGCCTGGTCTACAAGAGCTAGTTCCAGGACAGCCTCCAAAGCCACAGATGAAACCCTGTCTCGAAAAACCAAAAAAAAAAAAAAAAAAAAAAAGAGCTATTTCCAGGAAAGCCTCCAAAGCCACAGAGAAACCCTGCCCGAAAGCCCCCCACCCAAAAATAAATAAATAGGGGCTGGAAAGATTGCTCAGAGGTTAAAGAGCACTGACCGACCGGGGTTCAATTGCCAGCACCCACATGGCAGTTCACAACTGTCTGTAATTTCTGTTCTGACACCCTCACACAGACATGCAGGCAAAAGCCCCCCAAAAATTACAGATGACCACTAAAACCCCCAAGGCACAGACACTGGAACACAGGTACAGCGCGCCCTTACACCCTCACAACTACCAGTGTCCCCTCGGTCGGGTCCTTTTGCAGCCTGGCTGTCTACACACCTCGCTCTCCCAACACTAAGAGAGGTGGTGAGGTCTGCAGCTAGCACCCACTGTGCAAAAAAGGACACACCCCTAAAAAGCTCATAGCCTAAGCCTGGCTCCAGAAGACTTAGCCAGTTTGGGGCAGCCTCAAACAGCAGCAACATTGCCAACCAGTAAGAGGCCAAGGGGCTGGTGAGGGAGTGGGGTGTGGGGCGACAGAGAGACCAAGGAGGCATTAAGATGCCAGGCCTCCTGTCACACACCTTCATCTCACCACTCGGGAAGCAGAGGGGGGCAGAGCTCTGTGTGTTCAAGGCCAGCCTGATCTACACAGTAACTCCTGGACAGTCAGAGCTACACAGTAAGAGCTTGTCTCAAAAGGGGTGGGGTGGGGGTGGACAGTAAGGTATATACAACCAGAACAGGAAGTCCTCCCCACAGACGCCAGCAGGAGGAGTCAGGGCAGCTAGAGACCAGGATAGGTGTTGGGAGAACCACAGGAAGGGGTGGTCACCGGGTACTGAAGAAACAGGTAGAGAGACCCCCCAAAAGGAGCCAGGAGGAGCAGGTGTCCCCAGGAAAGGCCTGGACCTCTGAGGGGCAGGGCTGCCTCTGCCTAGTCCAAGCTGAGAAAGACTGCAAGGACCAGAGACAGATGCACGAGGGTTCTGAGAACCTAGAATGGCGTCCAGACAAACACGTTGCTTTTTCTTACCCTATTTGCTCATTGTGCACGTGATGCACATGTGAGCACAACACACATGTAGAAATAAGATGACAACTGTGGGAGCTGGTCCTCCACCATGCATGTTTGGGGCTCACACTCTGGTCATCAGGCTTGGTGGCAAGTGCCTATACTGGCTGAGTCATCCCGCTGGTCCTAAATAATCTCCTTGTATAGTACCAGCAACAGAATCTCCTGTCTAACCTGGCCACGCTCCATGGCACCACCAACCAGGTGTAGGACAGAGGCCATGGCACCTCTTCTAGGAAGTAAGCCAGGGCCAGCCAAGTCAACTTCACATCCCTTTCCTGTGTTGCATTAAAGAGGAGCCAATTCCAGCACGCCATGCCCCGAGGCCAGTACAAGACATTCCAAGACTACCTGCCCCTTTCCTGCTCTCCTTACACACACACACACACACACACACACACACACACACACACACCAAATCCCCAACTCATGAAGACCAAATCTAGCATGCTACTAGCCACACAAACTATGCATAAAGGAAACTAAAGAACCCACTGTCCAAAAGCCTGATGTTGGATAGTGACAAGACCCCAGGACACTACCCATTCTGTGTCCTGGGCCAACACAGAAAAGGACAGAAGGAACTATGCAAGTGTGACTCCCAGTGAGAAAAGACCAGTTCTAAACATGTGCCAGCAGAGGCTGAAAGGCCAGAAAGAACACAGGGTAAAAACTGCTCTTGAGTCAGGGGCAGTGGTGGTGCAATCTTTAATCCCAGCACTGGGGAGGCACAGGTAGGTGAATCTCTGAGTTCAAGGCCAGTCTGGTCTTCAGAGTGAGTTCCAGGACATTCGGGGCTACACAAAGAAGCCCTGTATTGAACCCCATCCCCCAAAAAAGAAAAGTAACTCAGAAAAGGCCTGAGGGAGGCTAGGGAGATGGCTCAGTCAGCAAATACCATGAAAGCATGAGAACATGAATTCAGATTCCTAGTACCTACATAAAAATCTAGGCATGAGCCAGGAGGATTTCTGTGAGTTCAAGTCTATTCTGGTCTACTTAGTGAATCCCAGGATAGCCAGAGCTACATGAGACCTTGTCTCAAAAACAAAAACAAACCAGGCATTGAAGGCACACACCTTTAATCCCAGTGCTCAGGAGGAGGCAGAGGCAGGAAGATCTCTTGAGTTCCAGGGCAGCCAGGGATACCCAGAGAAGCCCTGGGAGGGGGAACTAAGCATGGTAGTGCACACCTGTAATCCTAAGGCTGGAGAGGCAGGATAGGAAGATTCCTGGAGCTCGTTGGCCAGCTAGTCTTGTCAATGAGTTCCAGGTCCAATTAGCGCCTGTCTCTCAAAACAATCAAGTGAAGCTCTCAGAAGACAGAGGTGGGTAGATCAATGTGAGTTCTAGGTCAGTTAGAGCTACAAACTAAGATCCTGTCTCACAAAGAGGGTGAGAAGGACTTAAGGGCTGAAGGAACAGTTCAGCATTTAAGAGAATCTACTTCTACAGCAGGACACTAGTTCAATTCCCAGTACCCACATGGGTTAGTTCATAATGGCCGACTAACTCCAGCTCCAGGGGATTGAATGCCCTCTGACCTCCAGGGGCACATGCATGCACATGGTGCACATAAATCCATGCAGGCACACCTGTGTATGGACACACACACACACACACACACACACACACACACACACACACACACACACACACACACCCGAACAAAAGGGGGCTGGAGAGAAGGCTCAGAGGTTAAGGGCACTGGCTGCCCTTCCAGAGGATCTGGGTTCAATTCCCAGCAGCCACATAGCAAATCATAATTGTTTGTAACTACAGTTCCAGGGGATCTGACATCTTCACACAGATAGGGATTTGGGCAATACACCAATGCATATAAAATTAAATTAAATTAAAAAACAAAGCAGGCAGTGATGGCACACACCTTTAATTCCAGCATTCAGGAGGCAGCGGCAGGCAGATCTCGAGTTCAAGGTCAGCCTGGTCTACAAGCAAGTTCCAGGACAGCCAAGACTCTTAACACAGAGAAACCCTGCCCTGAAAAACCAAAATAAACAAACAGATGGACAGATGGGTGGATGGATGGAGAGAGAGAGAGAGAGAGAGAGAGAGAGAGAGAGAGAGAGAGAGAGAGAGAGAGAGAGAGAGAGAGAACACGAATGAACAAACGAAAGGGCCGAGGACACCAAGGTCTTTCCCAACCCTGCACAAGCGGCTGACTCTACCAAGCTCACCAATGCTGGGGCCTGGCTGCTCACACTTCTGCCCTAACCAAACAGTCCACATGTGGCTGTGTGACGGCCCATGGCCCTCACTAGTATTAGGCCTGACAGAAACCACCAGGGCTGACATAAGGTCAAGGTGCCTGTCAGGAAGGGAACTGGGAGAAGAGAATCTCCATGTTGGGCAAAATACTTGCTCTGCAAACCTGATGGCCTGAGTGTGATCCCCAAACCCACAGTGGAAGGAGAACCAACTCCCACAAGATGTCCTCTGACCTCTACACACATGCCAAGCACAAGCACACCTGTGCTCACACATGTAACAACAACAAATCCAACATAACTACAGTCCTTCCAGTTGCAGGGATGTTCAGACTGGACAGAGCGGTCGCAGCCTCTAAAGAGAAGAATTACTACACTTATGGCTGGCATTTTGCACTCAGTATTTCAGAGGCCTCCAGGCAGACTGCAGACAGTGAATAAAGGTGTGGAATCTCTCATTGGTATAGATTGGATTCGTCACACATTTACCAGATCAAGAATTCCAGATAAAGTGTTTCAGCCAAGACCTGAAGATCATGAAAAATATGGTGAGGACCTCTAGCACCCTCATAAACTGCACATTGTTTCAAGAATAAAAGGCACAAAAAGGTGCCCATACTGGGAAAAAGAAACTATCAAGATGCTTGGACTTCTGAAGGCACACAGCCCTCAAATTCACAAGAACATCCCTTCAGTGAACGCCAAGTTGAAAGTGGTCAAACACTTGATACGCATCCAGCCCCTGAAGCTGCCACAAGGACTTCCCACAGAAGAGACCATGTCTAGCACGTGCCTCAAGAGCACTGGGGAATTGGTAGTACAGTGGCATCTGAAGCCTGTGGAGCAGGAAGCAAAGTCTGATGCCACACAGCTGCAGATTACAAACTGCAGTTGCTGAGGAACTCATTAAAGTGTATTTCAATCCAAAAAAAAACATAACTACAAATATTTATGCTCCTCTCAGCTCACCACAAAATGCTGCCCTTCCTAGCCTGAAAGAGCTTAGCCTACTTTACCCACTAGAGGGGAGCAGCCTGTAATGAGACTTCATGGCCCTGGACACAGTGTGTGACAGTCATGACCCTGCCCATGGACTGTTCCTCTAAGAACTGGAACATAAGAGACATGGTTCTGCATGGTCTCACCAGGATCCATATCCAGGACCCAACATACAGGACAGACTGTTAAGTGTTCCGCCTCCTAGGACCCTGTAGAATACACACATCTTTCTGCCACACAAGATGACACTACAGAGCAGGGAAACGATGACCTTCCGCACCATGCATGACTCTCAGACAGAGCACAATTCTGAGACAGGCAAGGAGCACATGCTCCCTGCTTCAGAGTCTGTAAGAGAAGACTCTGTAAGAGAAGAGCAAGGATGCAGGGGAGGGGCAGGAACCAGTAGGTTCAGGAGGTGTTTGCTCAAGGGAGCTGAACTGACTAGCCCGGACACACACCCCTCCTCCACCAGATGGCGCTAAAATGCGGCCTCCAAGCCTGACAAGGTAACTTCCAAGCTGCTGATCTCTGCCATGCCCCAGAGCTACAGTGAGACCCCAGCAAGACATTCCTCCTAAGGGTGGCACTACATTAGAGCTCTCCAGTTATCACATGAGATGTCACTTTTTCCCACATCCTTGCACGGTGAAATAGACAGACACTTTGACATAAAGGAGTAAGAAAACAAGAGGGGTAAGCGCAATGACACCAACACACCACACATACCTCAACATGTTTTTAAATTTGTTTTATTTTGAGCTGGGCAGTGGTGGCGCTCTCCTTTAACCCCAGCACTCCGGAGGCAGAGGCAGGAAGATCTCTGTGTGTTCGAGACCAGCCTGGTCTACAAAGTGAGTTCCAGGATAGCCAGAGCTGTTACACAGAGAAATACTGTCTGGAAAAACAAAAAACAAAAAACAAAAAACAAACAAAAAAAAAACACCCTAGTATGAGCAGAAGAAAACAAGGAGTCAAATGGACACGAATGGGAAGAAATGGCCACACACGAATCTACTCAACACCAAATAAGGACAAGATGGTGCCAGCTGAGGTGGAGCTCTTGCCTCCCTTGCAAGAACCAACTAGAAGAGCAACTGTGGGGAGACAGACAGAGAAGGGGAGGGATGAAGCCGGGGAAGGCGTGGAGGGAGAAATGAGATCACGGCTGGGAACTGGCAATGGACTAAGTGAGAGACCTTGCTCAGCCCAATAAGGTGGAGGGGACTCAAGAAAGACACCAATATCAACTCGGGCTCCACAAGTGCCCCACACACAGAGAAGCCCACGTGAACACGATGACTTATACACCACACAAAAACAAAACAAAGCAAACTCACCAACCATGCTCAACAATTCTTTGACCTACTATAACCAAGACAAACCGAGTCTGGCTTCTTGGTTTCCAAGCCAACAGCAGACTTGATTAACCAAGGTCATGATTTCCAGAATACCAGGGCCACTGAAGTGTAAACCATTGCAAACTAGTTGGCAGAATGCTTTGAACTGCTGTTTTTTAGTTAAATTAAACTTTTCCTTAGTTTTTATAAAGCAAAGAGAAGAGTGCTTGCTTCTCCATCAGAACAGCAATCCACTGCCTCTGGTGCCAAGGGCAGCTGGCCCATGAGCCGGGCTGGGCTCCAGCAGCTCCTCCTTTTACTGCTGGACTTTCTACCTACCAGTGACATCCCCATCTTGGGCTCTGCCTCTAGAAAACTCAGTCCATACCTACACTGTGTCAACCTACTGTCCCATAGAGGTGGCCTCAGAGTTGTCTGAGGGGCAAGGACACAGACATGTGGATTTCATAGTTCTCAGAAAAGGCACAGACAACTCAGGTTGCAAACCAATGCCCTGGAGCTCAAATGTGTGACGACAGACAGAGGACCAGGGTCCTGAAGACACCATGGAGGGGACGCCGTAGCTCAGCTCCCACAGCACAGCAGCACGTCCTCTTCCTACCACACTGCTGCACAGGAGAGCCCAAGGGGCTCCTCACTCCCCGACCTGTACCTGCTCCTCAGAGGTTTCCTCCGTTCCATTGCTGTCCTTGTCACCATCGGCTCCATCGGCTCCGTCCGCGTAGTCCTCGCTAGTGTCACTGCCAGAATCCTCAAGGCCTGAAAACACACTCTCCTCGCTGTCAGAGAGACTGGAATCAGTGTCTCCGAGGAGAGGAGGCTGCGAGGAATCACAGTGTTTAGTAACTGCCACCTGGAATAGACAGGAACCACACTTGGAAAGTTGTGCCCTGGTCACACGCCTCCACCCCAACTAAAACCATCCACCCAACCTGGGCCCTCCTTATCTCCCGCCCGATGACAGAACCTGCCCTCAGAACACACATGCCAACCTTTGAGTGCCTTGCAACAGAGAGGCTTTTCAAGAACATAGTGGCTTTTCGGAGCTCAGTTCTCACTCACTGTGTCCCCAAAACCAGTTTTCCTCTACTGACAAACTCCATACACACCCTACCCCGGCACCTAAGGGTCCCAGAACTGGAAGGTCACTAACTAGGAATGGGGCTGTGAGCCTGGGAAGATCAGAAATTCCTGAAGGCTTCTTTCCCTTGAAGATGGGACCAACCACTGATGAACAAGTTGGAGAGTTGAAGAGTAGTGGAATGAATTTTACCTACAGCAAACTATGAGAATGGCCCTCATATACTTGTATGTTTGGTTCCCAGTTGGTGGAGTATTTAAGAAAAAATAGGTGTGGTTTTGTTGGAGGAGGTGTGTCACGGGGCGTGGGCTTTGAGGTTTCCAAAGTCCACTGATCACCATGTAAGAACGCTTAGTTACTAAAAGCTCTTAACTACTGTTCCAGTGCCATGCCTGCCTGTCGTGATGTCATGGACTAACTCTCTGAAACTTAAAGCAAGCCTCCAATCACAAGCTTCCTTTTTTATCTCTATCATTGGCCTCCAAAAGTTGAGCAAGAACTTGAACACTCTCTAGGAAGCATGTAATTTCAGAAATTTCAATTTCACTGTTTTTCCAATAGGCTAAGCACTGCTTAATTGGGTTTGAATTCATGGTTTGTTTGTTTGTTTGTTTGTTTGTTTAATACAAGGTCTCACCATGCAGCCCTGGCTAACCTAGAACTCGGTATGTACACCAGGATGACCTCAAACTAACAGAGATCCATCTGCCTCTGTGTCCTCAATGCTGGGAGTAAAGACGTGTACCACTGCCACCGGGTAATTCTTGCCTAGTCGAGTATCTTTCGTTACCAACTATTCACAGCTCAAGTGATTCTCTTACTACTGACATCTCCGAAACTCACAATAACAAGTAAAAGTATACACAAGCGCTGACTATAGAAGGCCTACTACCTAGAACTGCATGTAGTATGAAACTTAGGTACGTTTCATAAAACAAGAGAACAGCTTAAGGGATCTAACAATTGTGCCTTCTACCCCCTAGACTGCTGGAGCCTCACCAGCAAGCCTGAGCAGCCCAGCAACAAGGAGAACCAATGATTCCCTGACACCCAGTGCTGGATGCCCTGGGTCCCATTCAGGCTTCTATATCCCCTCGTCCTCTTTTATTTCACAACACACTTGACATACTGGCATGGTAACACAACGAGAGTGCAACTAAACTCTTTCCTAGGGCGGGAAACACAGGTGGAAGGTTCGGAGGCTGTGGTGAAAGGCACTCTTAACGGTCTCTTCCTTCCACACCAAGGCTCAAGCCGGGTTCTAGCGCCCCTCGGCGCAGGTAGTGCTCTGCTGAGGGCTCCAAAACAACACCCCGGACAGGACGAGGTTCTTCCGGGCTCCAGGCGGCCCCCCAGGCACCAGACACTGCACCGGGGTCCGGCCTCCCTGGCTTTGCCACGTGCACACCTGGTTCACGGAGGGATGCAACCCACTACCTCGAGGTTACCTCTTGTGGATGCCGCTCCTGCTCGGGTTCCAAACGCCGCTTCCCTGACAGCGACTCCGGTGACATGTGGGGCTTGCCCCACGCCCCCGCCATGCTGCGCCGCGCCGGCTACCGATAGACTGTCGCTTCCGGCAGCGAGCGCGCCTCGTGTGCCCTCAGCCCCGCCCCGCACAACCAGGCCCTGATTGGTGAGCAGCCAGGGTGAAGCCATTTTGCGCAGCCGTAGAGAGCGGCGGGCAGGGCCAGTGGCGTGGGCGGGGCAGGTCGCAGCGCCTGCGCACACGGGCTACGGGTCCGGCCCTAGCGAGAGCGCGCCGGTCGCAAGATGGCTGCGGCCATGCGAGGCCTTGCTGTGTGTGCGCAGCGGGCGGCCGAGCGGCGCGGACAGCAGGGGCAGCGACGACACTAGCTCAGCCCTCAGCCACTCTTCTAGAACGCCATCCCAGCCTCCACCCGCTTCTTCCGAGATGGATCTAGCTGTGGGCCCCGGTGCAGCGGGGCCCAGCAACGTCCCGGCCTTCCTAACCAAGCTGTGGACCCTCGTGAGCGACCCGGACACCGACGCGCTCATCTGCTGGAGCCCGGTAGGAGCTGGCATGGGCCCGAGCGGCCTTCCAGAGAGGGTCCTCTTCCGGGAGGGGACCTACTAAGGAGAAGAGGCCTGCGGGTGGCCGGGCTTGCCCGGGTCCAGGCATCCTGGAGGGACAACGCCGCTGTCTGGGGAGGAAGTGAACCCCGCCCCCAGAGCCGCTCGGCGGAGAGTAGGCCGGGGACCAGCGTCCCAAGTTTCACCGGGACGATAGTGTCGATAGTGTCGGGGCTGCCAGTTCAGGCTCTTTGACTCTCAGAGTCCGTCTGCCTTTCTGCTTGTGCACAACCGTTCAGAGTTAAGTGGAGGGCCTAGAGGACGACGGGAAGCCCAAGCCCTTCCGTGATAGTTCTCAGACACCAGAGCGTTTTTTCTGGCCCTGCTAGGGCGGCGTCGAGCCCTCTTCTGTTGCCTGGCAGCAGGCTGTGTACACCGCAGACCCTGCTGGACCAGCAGCTCTGGCTTACAGAGATAGGCCTGCGTTTGTGTCAAGTTGGAAAGTAGAGTTTGCTGTCCACATCTCGGGTGTGAGGGCTAGAGCTCAGAGCTAACAAATGATGGCCATCCTGATTTAGAGGGAGCCTTGGGAGGGATGGAGAGGGCTAGGTGCCAACTACGTGATCTCCTCCAAGCCAGATCTGGCGGCATGTCAGGCTCTGCTGAGCACTCCCTCCTGCACACTATGCAAGAATGGCAAAGCCAGGGTGGAAGGTAGAGGCCAAAGCTTCTGCCTCCAGTTGCCTGTTTGTTTAAACTCTGCTCTGCCTAGACTAGAAACCACGCAGCTTCACCTTTCACTAGAGAGTCTTTGATTACCTCACTGGCTCTCCGTGGGTCTTTCTCTCACCTAGTCCTGGAAGGGAGCAGCATGTTTACATGAAACCCGTCTTCGGTTCACCACCTCTCCTAGACCTCATGCTCTTGGGCAGAGAAAAAGATCCACATTTCTGCCTTTCCCCAACATTCCACCTCTGCGTTGTCTAACTGAAAGGGAGCTTTCTTACGTAGGTCCAGTGGGGAGACCAAGTATTCTCAGGAATAGTCTGAGCTTAACCTGTCTGGTAATCTACCTGCTGTTTCTGCTTATAGATTGGTACAAACGTGGGTGAGGTGCCAGTGAATATTCTTCTAGGACAGGATGTTCTGATGGGGCCTCTGTGTGAAGATGGATCTGCTCTGCCCTGGGACCTCCCTCCAGCCACAGCCGCACACCTGTGAGCCTTGCTGGCATGTTGGGAGGTGCGGGCAGGCAGTCTGTACAGAGCAGCAGTGTGCTCTCGCTGCTATGACACATGGCAGTGGGAGCTGGCGTGACCATGAGTATAGCAACCAAGCTCTGGCTTAGAAGTGGGCCAGACAAGGGCGGCAGAGCTGCTTGGAGTGGGCCTCTGGCCCACAGATAGAAGTGATGCCCCTGCTCCATGTCCTGTGGGGGCACTTATACTGGCTTGGTAGCCTCTTGACAGTATTCCCTGGAGACTTTGGGTCCACACTCTTGTTCTGAGTGGCTTCCAGATATAAATTTTCTCACCGTTCCCAGACACGTCCTCCTGGAGGGATCAGGGAGGCTGGATACTTGGGAAAGCCTGTCTAGCCCCCAAAATTCTCAACTGAGCCTTGCTAGGTCTACCTGTTCATCCCTACCACTTGGACACAGAGCTGGGGCTACCTTTCCCCAGCTCTGTTGTGTTTGATTTCCCATCCCTGGCCCTCATTCAGTTACAGCTGCTCCACCAAAACAGGGACCTCAGGAGATCCAGGGGTTTCCCCATACAGATCCCAGAGAACACAACAGCCTTGAGAAATTTAGGGTCCCAGGAAGACCACATATATAAAGGTCAGAGGAGGACATCCAAGGTCCTCTCTTAACATTCTCTGCCTTGTTCCCTTAAGACAGCTTCTCTCACTGAACCTGGAGCTTGGTTGGCTAGTCAGCAAGCCTCAACAATCCTTCTCTTTCTACCCCACCCAGCACTGGGCTTACAGGCTCACACAGCCACACCCAGCTTTGCATGGGTGCTTAGGAAATCCAAACCCAGACACCCATGCTTGTGCAGCCAGCCCTCTATCCCACCTACCCATCCCCTCAGCTCCTGAACATGTTCTGACCTACTAACCAGCCCAAGAGTTGGTGTCCTACTAGAATCTAATTTGGGCCCTGCTTGCCATATAGCCCAGGAGCTACCTGAGGAGCTTGAGAATGGGAAGAAGGCCACATGATTTGTGCCAAACAAGTGCTGGGGGAAACAGGCTTCAGGTCCCAGCCCAGACTTCAGGGAGGCACTCAGGCTCAAAAATGTAATGAAACCTCCCTCCCTCCCTCCCTCCCTCCCTCCCTCCCTCCCTCCCTCCCTCCCTCTCTCCCTCCCTCTCTCTCTCTGCCTGGCTGTCCAGGAACTGACCCCAAACTCACAGAGATCCACCTACCTCTGCCTCCCGAGTGCACCACCACCAACTTTGATAAGCTGAACAATGAAGATCTTAAATTTTGTTGCTAGGTGCCTCTCTGGTCTTGTTCTAATCCCAGCAGTAATGATGTGGTTCTTTTCTCTTTGAGAACAGGCAGGACTGTGGGTGGAGCTTCTGGGGGACCCTTGTAATTGAAGAAGCTAGAACCACCAACCAAGGGCTCTTGAATACCAGTGCTCAAACAGCCACGGGAGGAGCTGGGTCCCAGGATAGGCTGTTGGAGATACAGTAATCTATGCACTAGTTCAGGGAAGGGCACCCATCTGCCTCAGTACTCTGCATGGGATCACTGAAGCATCTTAAAGCAGAGTTCTTGGCCATGGTTTATTCCAGAACTCCTAGGATAGGCATGGCCACTCCTGCTACCTGAGCCCTGACAAGCAGGTGAGTTCATTCTCAGACAGACAGCAGGAACTAACAGGCCCAGAAGCCCCACCCATAGAGACCTGGCAGCCAGCTGAAATGTCAGAGGTTGTGTATGCCAGGGGCAGGCTCTGGTGCTCCAGTGAGGACTTTCAAGCAGTGCATGGCACAGCAGTTTGCACCCAGCGCTTCTGTCATAGATCAACTTGAGTTTCTTGTGTGCCGTTCTGGTGTGTCCACAACTAAACAAGTAGGTGACAAGTTTGCATTTTATAGATAGAAAACTGAGGCAGAAAGCTTGATGTAGAACTTAAAAACAAAACACAAGACAGTGCTGGCGCACACCTTTAATCCCAGCACTCAGGAAGGCAGAGGCAGATGGATCTCTGTGAGTTGAGACCAGCCTGGTCTACAGAGTGAGTTCCAGGACAGCCTCCAAAGCCACAGAGAAACCCTGTTTCAAAACAACAATAAAAACCCTCCAAACTCAACACCTGTCTTTATCAGACGCCATGTACTCCTTGGGGGTGGGGGTGCGCGGGCACATGCATGTGTCAGGGGAGGCTACCCAGGCTCAGAGCAGGGTCTGTGTGGGACTTACCAGAGTCTCTGTAGACTCAGGCTCCCAGGGTGGAGCTTGACTGGTCAGCTCTTTCTCCTGTAAGCAGAGCAGACATGGTCAAGAACTAGGAGCTCAGAGCCAGTCCCAGGGCTCTTGAATACCAATGCTCAAACAGCCACTTTGATGCTGACCTTGCCTGGGCCTTCAGGACTCAGTTCCCGGTCAATGGATGAAATGCTTTCCAGGCTGTTCCAGTGGCCAAGGCCTGTTGCAAATGGGTTGGCAATGACACCTGGAGACAGCTGAAAGGAAAGGAGTGGGCTGAGAGAAGAAACTTGCTGACAAGGTCCCACTGCTGGGGCAGGCTGAAGTCTGGACCCAGGACCCCATATCCTGACAAACTGGCCACTTGAGGCTCTGTGGACAAGCTGCTGGTCCACCTATGACCTACCTGTCCCCAGCCTTCCAGGGACAAAGGGTGGTTATGGTTCTAGGCTCATGGGGTCACTGTGGGTATAGGTCATGTCTGCACACTACAGAAATGTGGAGCGGCCATGCTCAGCCACGATGCTTGGCATGGGGATAACACAAGCTGACCGTGGCCTCTCTAGGAACAAAGGAGGAATGGCTAGTAAGATGGGATTGGGAAGGGAATAGTTGAAGGCAATGAGCTTGGTAGTAGAGTAACACTCCCAGATGGATAGGCTGTGTTTACAGTGTGTATTCTGAAAGGGGAGATTCAACTAGCTCTGGGACTGGAGGTCTGGGGTGTGTGTGTGTGTGTGTGTGTACATGAGTGTGTGTGAGTGAGTGTACATGAGTGTGTGTGAGGGGGAGAGAGAGTGTGTAAAGATGTCTAGACTTAAGAGTTCCATGTTGGGGCTGGGCGGTGATGGTGCACACCTTTAATCCCAGCACTCAGGGGGCAGAGGCAGGCGGATCCATGTGAGTTCGAGACCAGCCTGGTTTACACAGCGAGTTCCAGGACAGCCTCCAAAGCCATAGAGTACCCTCTCTTGAAAACAGAAAAGCAAACAAGAGAGTTCCATGTTGGGTATCTTCATCAGTCACTCTCCACCTTGGGTTATTTTATTTTATGTATATTTGTGTTTTGCCTGAATGTATTTCTGTGTACCGTGTGTATATCCAGTTCTTGCAGAGGCCAAAGGTCAGATTCTTTGGAACTGGAGTTACAGATGGTGATGAGCTGCCATGTGGGTGCTAGCAATCAAGGCCAGGTCCTCTGGAAGAGCAGCCAATGCTCCTAACCACTGAGTCTTTTCTCCACCCCCTTCATCTGGTTTCCTGAGGCAAGTTTTTTCACTTGCCTAAAGCGCACTCAGTGGGATGGTCTGCCTGGCCACGAGCTCCGGATCCTCCTGCCTCTGCCTCTTCAGTGCTAGGATCATTGTGCTCACATTTATGAGCATGCTAGGATCATTGTGCTCACATTTATGTGCATGCTAGGATCATATAAACAGGGTCCCTCTTGCCTCTGCCTCTTGAATGCTGGAATTAAAGATGTGTGTACCACACCTGGCCTCTTTTTTCTTCTCCAAGATTTATTGCTGGGCATGGTGGCACATGCCTTTAATTCTAGCACTTGGGAGGCTCTCTGTGAGTTTGAGGCCAGCCTGTTCTACAAAATGAGTTCCAGGACAGCCAGGGTCCCACAGAAGGGACCTTCTGCCCACCCAAAAAATATATTTATTTTATGTGTATGGGTATTTTGCTAGCATGCAGTAACTATGGTGGCCAGAAGAGGCCAAAAGGTCCTGTGGAACTAGAATTGCAGGCGATTATTAACCACCAAGTATATCTGGGAACTGAACTTGAGTCTTCTGCAAGATCATCAGGTGTTCTTTACTGCTGAACCATCTCTCCAGCACCTGGGAGCTAGAGTTAAGAATTTTAAGTTCTCACGCTTGCACAGCAAGCACTTTACTAGCTCAGTCATCTCTCCAGGATTTATTATTGTATGTGTATGTGTGTGCACATTCCATAGTGCACATGTGTATCTGGAATGACAACCACCAAGTAGGTTGCAGGGATCAAACTCAGCTCTTCAGTCTTGGTAGCAAGTGCCTTTATCTGCTGAGCTATCTCACCAGCTATATTTTTACTTTTTTGGTTTTTTTGTTTTGTTTTGAGACAGGGTTTCTCTGTATTGTTTTGGAGGCTGTCCTGGAACTCGCTCTGTAGACCAGGCTGGCCTCGAACTCACAGAGATCCACCTGCCTCTGCCTCCCGAGTGCTGGGATTAAAGGCGTGCACCACCAATGCTCGGCTACTTTTACTTTTTTAAAGATGGGTCTCACTAAATTGACCAGACTGACCTTGAATTTGTAGTCCTCCTGTCTCGATCTCAAGTAGCTAGGATTATGAGCCTCTACTGTTCACTAGCTTTCTTAGTTGGATTCCCACCACTTTTCTGTGACCAGCACTGTTGGCTCGTAATCAGAATGTTATTTTGGATTTGCACCTGAGAGTCCCTCCTTACCTGTCCACAGAGAAGGAACCAGCAGAGATCTATCAACTGATAGGTTCTGTGCTGTGACCTGTGTTTCTTCCTGCATGGGAGGTAAAGCAGGTAGAGAAGATGGAGAGATCCAGGGTCCAGAGGCCACTGCAGGCCTCCTTAGATACCCTGTTCTAAAAGGCCTCCCAGAAAATAGTTCATCACTGATGGGCCACGAAAGTGTATCTGGCCTGAGAACAGATCATTTGGGAAAGAAGAGGTATATATAAAGGGAAAGCCAGAGTCTAGGGCCTGTGGATATTCCACTCTAGTGGGAAGAAATAACTATTTGGACTACAGTGGCTAGGCTAGGGCCTGCCTCTGGCTTAAGGATTTTCTCAAATTCTAGCAGGAGGACGAGGCTAACCTCACAGGCTGTGAGAGAAGAGGTGCTCAGCCCCCTGAATTGCCTAGGAGTACTGGTTCCTAATCATCTGTAACTCCAGTTCCAGGGAACCCAGCACGGCATTCTGACCCACAGGCACCAGGCAGACTCATGGTGCACAGAATACAGTCTGGTAAGACATCCATACACATAAAGTAAATGTTTTGATTTTTGTTTTTTGTTTTTTCGAGACAGGGTTTCTCTGTATTGTTTTGGAGGCTGTCCTGGAACTCGCTCTGTAGACCAGGCTGGTCTCGAACTCACAGAGATCCACCTGCCTCTGCCTCTCGAGTGCTGGGATTAAAGGCGTGCGCCACCACCGCCCTGCCTAAGTAAATGTTTTAAAAATAAAATAAAGGCTGGAGAGATAGCTGCTTTTGCAGAGGACACAGCTTCTGTCCCTGGCTCACACAGCTCCTGTTCCAGGGCACCCAGTTCTTGTGACCTTTGTGGGAACCCAGCACTCGTGTGGTACACGTGCACCCACTCAGGCAAAAACATAAAAACGTTTACATCTACATGGGGAAAGAGACGATCTACTCTACTGGAAACTGTCTGCAGATCATGAAGACAGCTGTCGCATAAGAGGTACAGGCAGGAGGATTAGAGGTTCAAGGCCATTGTTACCTATATAGCAAGTTAGAAGTCAGCGTGAAATACACTTCTTGTTTTTCTGGGGGGGGGGTGTTGCATGAAGAGCAAGAAGTAACGATGGTGGAGAACTTGTCAGAAACTGAGGCACAAACCAGAATAGCTCCTAAAGTGCAAGTATAGTCCCATGTACTAACTCAGTGATTGTACCACATCAACATAAAAAAAAATAACAAGCAAAAAGCACGTTACAAAATTCAACGCCTACTTCTTGAAAACTCAGCAAACTGGGAATAGCAGGGACATTCCTCTGCACTGATTTTGTGTGCTTGATTGTGAAGACTGAACACTTTCCCAAGATTGGAGGAGAAGATAAGTTCTCTGCTTTGCCATTTCCGCTTAACAGTGTATGTTCCGGTCAGTACAGTGTAGCAAATAAATATAAACCTTAATAAAAACACAAATGGAAGAATTAAAACTCGTTATTCAAGGATAGCAGCAGGATAATTTACTTAGAAAAATCCTGAGTCTACAGAATAGTTGGCGAGATCACAAGATCCAGGGTCAATACACAGAAGTGATTTTTTTGTTGTTGTTTTTGGTTTTTCAAGACAGGGTTTCTCTGTAGACCAGGCTGGTCTCAAACTCACAGAGATCCACCTGCCTCTGCCTCTGAAGTGCTGGGATTACAGGCATACGCCACCACTGCCAGGCCAGAAGTGAATTATATATTTGTATATGAACAATGAATTATTGTTGAACTGTGACAGGAGTGGAGAGATAGCTCAGCAGTTACATGCTTCCTGGTCTTACAGAGTACCCAAGTTCAACTCCCAGTTCCCGTGTCAGGGCAGCTGACAACCACCTGTAACTCCCAACTCCAGTGGATCTCGAATCGGTTTCTGCACTGAAACACACACATAGACACACGCACACAATATTTTTTTTTTCTCTTTGTTGAAATACATTCAGTAGTGTCAGAAAACATAAGCAAGTCGTTGGTGCATTGTGAGCAGGCAAGAGCTCCGTCCTCGGGTGGAGATAGGATGCACTCCGAGCCTTGGGGATGGGTAGCAGATGCCACCCAGAGAGACCTCCATTCAGCCCAGAGATGCTCAGAAAGCTCTGCTTCCTCTACAGCCTCTGGGAGGGCACCTTCCCTGCTTTCCTCTCTTGTGGCTGTTGCTGTTATTCTGTGGTATTCCTTCGTTTATAGCTGCATGACGCCACTCTGTCTTTGTCATTACCTGACATTCCCCTGTGTGACTAACGTTATTTGGCTGTCTTCTTGTAAGGGCATTAATCCGTTCAAATTAGGGGTTCACTCTACTCCAACATGACCTCACACTGTCTGATTGCATTGCAACAACCCTATTTACAAGTGCAGTTACATTCTGAAGTATGGGGGTTAGGGCTTGAATGCATCTCCCTTTTTTAAATCCCTTATCCTTCTCTTGTCCCCCTCCTACTCCCTCTGGAACCCTTCTTCCCAGCAGGTTCCTTTCCTTTCATTTATTTTTCTATTACAACCCACTGAGTTCGATTAGTATTGCTTGCATGTGCATGGATGTGAGGTTATTTATTGGATTATGAGTAACTTAGCATTGGCTACACCCCTAAAGAAGAATGGCTGTCCTCCTCCCCCAGCAGTCATTAACTACCAGCAGCTTCCCAGCCTTATGCTAGTACTCTCTGCTGATTGCAGGTCACCACAGCTGCCATGAGTTTATTGGTGCCGTGGCCTAGTCATGGCTGGAAGTCAAGGTTTACAGTGCTCTCCATCCTTCAGCTCCTACATCTTTCAGCTATTCGCCTGTGATGTTCCCTGAGCCTTGGGATGGAATAGAGCAGTGTAGATGTCCCATTTGGGGATGGACACTGAACAACCACTTTTCAGCACTTGGATTGGTTATGAGTCCAACGTCTTAACTACTGCCCACTGAAAAAAAACATTCCTTTAGCCAAGGTTGAGAACAGCACTAATCTATGGGTATGAACATAAGTATTTGGAAGGCAATTAATTTGACAACATGTCTAATTTGCAAACATCAGTAGTAGATTCCCCTAAGGGCTCTAAAATCCTTAGCCATGGACTTTTAACCAGGTTACAGTATCAGGCATAAATTCATGGAGTGGGCCTCAAATTCAAAGGGGTTGCTTACCCTACGTATTCATGGTCACTGCTGTACCATTGAACAGTTCTAGCTGAGCAAGTCAGGTTTGTAACATGCAGTTAACCACCTATGACTTTCCTCTCCAAGCAGCCTTCATAGCCCTCTGAGGCATGAAAGCTAGCCAGCAGGAAGAAGTTTCTAGATCAGTTCCAGCTTGATTTTTCTATGTCTTGTAACCAAAGTATGTGGTATCTTCAGCCATGAAGGGTTTGTTTTGTTTTGTTTTGTTTTGCTCTCTTGGTTTTTGAGATAGTGTCTGACTGGGTAGTATCACAGACTCATTTGTCAGATGGACAGCTGGCTAAGGGTTTCACTTCTGTGGGCTGCTGCTTTACTCGTTTGACAGTTGTGTAGAACTTTTTAATTCCAGGAGGTCTTCTTGTCAATTATTAGCTATATCTCTTGAGCCTCTGGATTCTTCATTCAGGAAGTCCTTGCCTACGCCTCTATATCCACAAGTGCAGTGCTTTGTTCTCCTTTAGCAGTTTCAGAGCTTTTTTGCTTTGTTTTGTTTTTTGTTTTTCCAAGACAGGGTTTCTCTGTGTAGCCCTGCGTTGCTGGAGTTCCTTGTCCCACCAGGTCCCACCACCCTTGTCAGCCTCAAATGAAACTGTTGGCCAATGGCTAGGGCTCCTAATTTGCCAGCTGTCTTAATTATTAACCCATTTCTATAAATCTATGTATTTCCACATGCTCTTGGCTTACCAGAGAATGCCAGGACCTGTTACTCCTTTAGCAGCTACGTGATGTCTCCTCGCATTGCATCTCTGCCTCTCTCCCCGGCATCCTCCTCATCTCCTAGCCCCACCTCCTTCTCTATTGGTCAAACAGTGTTTTACTCATCAACCGATAAAAGAAACACATCCCCCATCAGCCCTGGCTGTCCTGGAAGTCCCTCTGTAGACCAGGCTGGCCTGAAATCCTCCTGCATCTGCCCCCCCCCCGAAGGCTGGGATTAAAGATGTGCAGTACCACCACCTAGCTCAGTAACTTTTCTATTTGTGCTTTTTTTTTCCTTTTTTCTTTTTATTATCTCATACAATACATCCCAACTGCAGCCTCCCCTCCCTCCACTCCTCCCAGCCCCCCCACCTCCTCTCTCCCCCAGGTCCACTCCTCCTCTGTTGCCCTTCAAAAAAAAGAGCAGGCCTTCCAGTGATGTCAACCAAACATGGCATAAAAGATTGTAAGACTAGACACAAACCCTCACACCAAGGCTGGACAAGACAACCTGTAGGAGAAAAGGGCTCCCAAGAGCAGGCGAGAGTCAGAGACACCCCTATCCCACTGTTAGGAGTCCCACCAACCCAAGCAAGACAGCCACAGCATGTGTCCATGTATACAGAGGACCTAGCACTTCTCTATCCCTCTGACTCCTGCAGTCCTTCCTCCTCCTCTTCCAAGGGCTTCCCCAGGCTCCACCTAATGTTTGGGTGTGGGTGTCTACATCTGCTCCCATCAGCTGATGGAGAAAGCCTCTCAGGTAACAATTGGGCTAGGCACTGATCTCTTAGTATAGCAGAGTATCATTAAGAATCATTGGTTTAGCTTGGTGTTGGTGGCGTCCACCTTTAATCCCAGCACTCGGGAGACAGTGGCAGGATCTCTCTGAGTTTGCGACTAGCCTGGTCTACAGAGACAGTGCCAGGACAGGCTCCAAAGCAAAACCCTGTCTTAGAGAAAAAAAAAATCATTGACTCTTTTGTGGGGAGCAGAGGGGGCTGTCAGTCGTGTCCGGTTCTACCCTAGGTCTCTAACTATCCAGCTTCTGGATGCTGACCATCCTGATAGGATCGGCATGGGCTCCCTCTCATGACTTGGGCCTCAAGTTACACCGGTCATTGGTTGGCCACTCCCATGTGCTTTGAGCCACAACTTGCAGGCAGGACAAGTATGGGTCAAAGGTTTTGTGCCTGGGTTGGTGTTCTAGTCCCACTACTAGGAGCCTTGCCTGGTTACAGGATATAGCCAGTTCAGGCTCCATATCCTCATTTCTTAAATGATTCTCAGCCATTTGAGATTCTTCTGTTGAGAATTCTCTGTTTAGAGCTGTACTCCATTTTTTAAATTGGATTGTTTGTTTTTGATGCCTAGTTTTTTGAGTCCTTTATGTGTTTTGGGTGGTAGCCCTGTCTTGGATGTGGAATTGGTGAAGACTCTCATAGGTTCCAGGAGGTTTCCGCTGCACATCCTAAATGCTCCCCTATTCCAGTTGTCTCTCCATGTAATCCCTTCCCCCTCTCCTCCCTCCCCCACCTGACCCCTCCTAACAGCTGAGTAATACTCCATTATGTCAATACACCACATTTTCTTTATCTGTTCTTGGGTTGAGGGACATCTAGGTTGTCTGCAGTTTCTGTCCTCATGGTAAGTTGGAACGTCTTTTGGAAATATGCCCAAGAGTGGTATAGCTGGGTCTTGAGGTAGATGGATTCCCAATTTTCTGAGAAACCGCCACATTAATTTCCAAAGTGGCTGTACAAGTTTGAACACCCACCAGCAATGGAGGAGTGTTCCCCTCGCTCCGTATCCTTACCAGCATGTGCTGTCACCTGCGTCATTGATCTTAGCCATTCTGACAGGTGTAAGGTGGAAATCTCACAGTTTTGATTTTCATTTCTCTGATGGCTAAGGTATTGAACACTTCTTTAAGTGATTCTCAGCCATTTGAGGTTCTTCTGTTGAGAATTTCTGTTTAGAGCTGCACCCCATTTTTTAATTGGATTATTTAGTTTTGGTTTTGGTTTTTCGAGACAGGGTTTCTCTGTGGCTTTGGAGGCTGTCCTGGAACTTGCTTGGTAGTCCAGGCTGGTCTCGAACTCACAGAGATCCGCCTGCCTCTGCCTCCTGAGTGCTGGGATTAAAGGCGTGTGCCACCACCACCCGGCCCCTTTTGTCCTCTTGATGATGTTCTTTGTCTTACACAAACTTTTCAGTTTCATGAGGTCCCAGTTATCAATTGTCAGTCTTAGTACCTGTGCTATTGGTGTTCTCTTCAGGAAGTTGTCTCCTATGCCAATGCTTTCAAGGTTACTCTCCACTTTCTCTTCTGTCAGGTTGTGTATCTGGTTTTATGTTGAGGTCTTTGATCCACGTGGACTTGAGTTTTGTGAAAGGTGATAAATAAGGATCTTATCATTCTTGATTTCAAGCTTTACTACAGTTCTTTTATTGTTCAGGATTATTTTAGCTATCCTGGTTTTTGTTTTTCCATATGAAATTGAGTATTGGCTTTTCAAGGTCTGTAAAGAATTGTTTTGCATCTGGGTGGTGGTGCACACCTTTAATCTCAGCACTTGGAAAGCAGAGGCAGGCGGATCTTTGTGAGTCAAGGCTCGCCTGGTCTATCTACAGTGTGTTTCAGGACAGTCAGGACCACAGAGAAACCCTGTCTCAAAAAAGAAAAAAGTTTTGCAGCCAGAATGGCATCCCAGATTCCTTAATGCCAGCACTTGGAGGGATGGAGAGGAGGCAGAGGCAGGTGAATCTCTAAGTTTGAGGCCAGGCTGGTCTATAGGATAGCCAGAGCCACACAAAGAAACCCTGTCTCAAAAACAGACAAATAAATAAATAAATAAATAAATAAATAAATAAATAAATAAATAAATAAATAAATGGAGGAGGAAGGAAGGAGGGCTGGAGAGATGGCTCACAGGTTAAGAGCACTGGCTGCTTTTCCAGAAGTCCTGAGTTCAATGCCCAGCAACCACGTGGTGACTCACAGCCATCTGTAATGGGATCTGGTGCCCTCTTCTGGCTTGAAGTGCAGGTGTGCTTGCAGGCAGAACACTGTCTACATAATAAAGGAAAGAAAGAAGCATTGTCCTCTATATCCATAAAACTGTTGGTTTCAACTGACAGTTGTTCTGATGAGCCTGCCTATATGTGTGGCTTATTTCTCTTGTGCCACTTGTAGTACAGGCCTGGTGACACATGCCTTTAATTTAACCCCAGTGCTTGGGATCTCAGAGGTCAGAGAAACACTGTCTCAGAAAACAAAACAACAAAAACAAATTAAATATTAAATACAGTCCTCATTGGTATCCTACAGTAGTATTTTCATGTAACCTGTACACATTTTCCCATTTTAAATTATTTCTGGATAATGTATAACTTTATGACATAAATGCTATATAGATACCTTATGCTGACTTGCTTAGTTAATAATGGCAAAACAAAGCCTATACATGTGAAGTACTGAGATAAGATTGTTTAGTACCTTAAGTTTACTGTTGGTAGAATCCATAGATGGGGACTCTTTTCAGAAATAAGTTCCTGCCAGAAAGTGGTAGCGCACGCCTTTAATCTCAGCACTTGAGATGAGGCAGAGGCAGGCGGATCTCTGTGAGTTCCAGGACAGCTAAGGATACACAGAAAAAGGGAGGGATGGCTATTTCCAGTCCGGTCGTTATCTTTTCTCTATTTTCTTTCATCTGGTTTCCTGCTTTTTTTTTAACTCCTGCACTCAAATCTACTGTGTGCTTGTTATCTTTTCATGTCTTTTTTTTTTTCTCTTTTTTTTGGGGGGTTTCCGAGACAGGGTTTCTCTGTATTGTTTTGGAGGCTGTCCTGACACTCACTCTATAGACCAGGCTGGCCTTGAACTCAGAGATCCGCCTGCCTTTGCCTCCCGAGTGCTGGGATTAAAGGTGTGCGCCACCAACGCCCGGCTCTTTTCATGTCTTTAGGACATTTCCCATTGGTAATTATCTGCTTAATGCTCCTTCCTTTGCTTCTTCAAACATTATTTCCTTATTTCTCTAATTGTATTCATCTATTCTTATTTTATGTGTATGACTTTTACCTGCATATATGAAAATGCACTGCATGTATGCCTGGTGCCTGTGCAAGCCAGAAGAGGGTGCCAGGTCCCCTGGAACTGGAGATACAGACATGTAAGCTGCTCTGTAGGAACGAAATCCATGTTCTCTGTGAAAGCAGCAACTGTTCTTAACTGCTGAGCCATCTCTCCATCCCCTGAGCATATTTACGACATTATACTTTTTGTTAAATTTATGGTCATGTCCTCCTTGGGCAGTTTCTGTTGCTCCTCCTTGTCCACCATGTATGAGTCATACTTCAGTTTCTGTAGGTTTTGCGATGGTTTTGTTTTGTTTTTGTCATCATTAGTGTATTGCAGAACTTGGTAGCTGAGTCATCGAGCTGTTGAGCTGGCTTGTAACTTGGCCAGACTTTGTCAGAAAGACTGCTTCTCCTTGATGACACTAATGCCTCACAGTTGTCACCTCCAGCATTGAAGCACCAGCAATTACTGCCTGGTTTTGCTGTTGTTCTTCATACAATGCCTGGGGACATAGATTGTTGGGCAGTCAGACCAGTTATATTTGAGACCGCAATAAGATAGTCAGGCTGCTTTTGCTTGCAGTATTTCGGTGGGTTCATTGAGCTAGAGCAGAGTCGCATCAGTCTTCCATTTGTTCTAGTCCCAAGGAGCTCTCTTCAGCTTCCTTTCCCATCTGGGCAGGCTGGCCTGGAGCTCTGCTCCCCTATTGTCAGTACACCCTGGGGCTTGAGCTTTCCAATGCTGCTGGACCTAAAGGAGCTAGAGCACTTCCCTTATGCATTGTCTCCTGGGGGCAAACCCTCAGGACACGTGACTAGGCAATGGCTACTGTAAGTCCCAGCTGAACACTCTCAACATGCAGACTCTGCTTTTCTCTGCCCCTGGGATTAGTCTCTGTCTGGGAGCACTGTGGGTGAGGGGGAGGACCATTCCAAGTAGGAATGTACAGTTGGAGAATACACATCTTTCCAGTGTCCTTAAACCTTGACAGAACTGAGAAGACGGGTTCCCACAACTTAGCCACACTTTCCAGGGTGCAGCATCTGATAATGGGAGCTTAGTGACAGGGAGAGACTAGTTCATGCCACAAGTGCTTACTGACTGACCCATTGGATTTTAGTGGTTTCATTGGTCATTCTTATTTGTTTGATGCATGAGAACAATTTCAGAGACATTAAATGATCTAAACAAGCTTTGTGTGTGTCACTGGAGAGGAAGCACTTCCCCAGAGCTCCACACTCCTGGCCCAGAAGTGGGGCTTCCTCTCCTCTTGAGGGGTAGGCATCCACCATCTGTGCTGATGTGTCTGACCTGGGTACTTGCAAGGCCCTTTCTTGGGTTATGACGTGACCGTGTATGAATCCCTTTTAGTTTTTGTTTGAAATTCATTCAGTGTCTTGGATATTACATCAGATTTGGTATGTTCCTGATTATTTTTCATAAGTATAGCCATTTGTCCTTTCTCATCTTCTGAAGCTCCCATTAAGCTTTGTAGGTCTCTACAACTCTGTTCACTTTTATTCACTCTGTCTACTCGTTGTTCAGTTGCTGTGAAGAGACAACATGGCCATGACAATTTTTTTTTCTTAATGTGCACTGGTGTTTGGCCTATGTGTATGTGAGGTCCTCTGGAACTGAAGTCACAGACAGTTGTGAGCTGCCATGTGAGTGCTGGGAATTGAGTCCGGGTCCTCTGGAAGATCAGCCGGTGGGTGCTCTTAACCGCTGAGCCATTTCTCCTGCCCACACCACAACTCTTTTGGTTTTTACGAGACAGGGTTTCTCTGTATTGTTTTGGAGGCTGTCGGTCCAGCCTGGCCTCAAACTCACAGAGATCCGCCTGCCTCTGCCTCCCGAGTGCTGCCACACCACAACTCTTAAAAGAGAAGACATATAATTGGGGGCTTACCTAACACTTTCAGAGACCTGCTATATTATCATTAAGGCAGAAAACATGATGGCTCTCATGGTACCAAAGTAATTGAAAGCTACATCCTGAGACTAGACTGGCATGGACTTTTGACAATTCCAAGCCCACTCCCAGTGGCACATCTTCTCCAATAAGGCCACTGCCACTCCTTAGTGACTAAGCATTTAAATATGTGAGCCTATGGGGCCATTTTATTTCTCAAGACAGGGTTTCTCTGTGTGTCTCTGGCTGTCCTAGAACTTGATTTATAGATCAGGCTGGCCTGGAACTCACAGCTGCTTGCCTCTGTTTCCAAGTATAGAGATTAAAGACGTGTACCACCACACCCAGCTGATCTTTGCTATTCTTAAGGAAAATTTGCTGATTAAAGCTAAATGCTACTCAGTCCCTAGAGATGACCAGAATGCTGTGGGTGATCTATGAGTATAAAGTTAGCAACTGAAAACTGCCAGGGAGTAGGATCCTGTCTCTGGCTCCATGGTCCTCACTGTTCAGAGCTAGGCTCCATGGCCTGGATGGCAGCCATAGAGTCCTAAGATTGAACTCACCTCCTGATTCTCTCTGGAGGGAGGATGGAGAGGCTCTTCAGGTCTTGGTGGAAATACAGTGGCAGCTGCTATATATCACTTGCCCATGTATCTCCTTACAGAGTGGGAACAGCTTCCACGTGTTTGACCAGGGCCAGTTTGCCAAGGAGGTGCTACCCAAGTACTTCAAGCATAACAACATGGCCAGCTTCGTGCGGCAGCTCAACATGTGTAAGTACCTCTTGTGGGATGGTAGCCTCCTTCCCAGGGATGTGGAGAAACAGACCCCAACGTATTGCTGAGAGATGGAAGCCTGGGTTGACTAAGAAAGGGTCCTTGTGGGTGTGAGCCTGAATTCCCCAAGGAAGAAACAGTATGAGACTCTACCCTAGTAGCTACACTTCCATTTGCAATAGAGAAAGCTGTGCAAAGACAAGGTCTTTCCAAACCATGATTAACTAGCGATGGTGAATGGACCAGGATTTCATATAGTTGTTCAGGAGGCCCCTTGCCTGCCCTAGGCTATGACTAGGCTGTTGGGGGTCTGGTCCCTGGCCCTCAAGCAGAACTGCCCCACCCCCATATGCACAGATGGCTTCCGAAAAGTAGTCCACATTGAGCAGGGTGGCCTGGTCAAGCCTGAGCGGGATGACACCGAGTTCCAGCATCCATGTTTCCTGCGTGGCCAGGAACAGCTCCTTGAGAACATCAAGAGGAAAGTGACCAGCGTGAGTCACCAGCCCTGAGTACAGCCCCTCCCTGCCCTCAGCTCTCCCTGCAGGCTATGGGCTGGGAGTAGTATCTAGGTAGTGCTGCAACACTAGCCTGAAAGCATAGCCTGTACTCATCTCTCTGACCCTCCCTTCCCCTCCCTTCCCTACCCGTCTTTCCCAGACCCTCCCCACTGCTTGGATCTCCAGGTGAAGCACAAGAACCACCCACACTCCAGAGCCACTTCAGACTCTTGTGTGCCCCAACCCTTAGGTGTCCACCTTGAAGAGTGAGGACATAAAAATACGCCAGGACAGTGTCACCAGGCTGTTGACGGATGTGCAGCTGATGAAGGGGAAACAGGAGTGTATGGACTCCAAGCTCCTGGCCATGAAACAGTAGGTCCCAAGACTCAGGAGGGTGGCCTGGTTGCTTTGGGTCTCTATCCTGCAGAACCAGTGGCTTCCCTCCCCCTCCCCGACCTGTCTTCCATTGTTTTTATGGCAAAAACTGCGTGGCCTATTCATCTCCATAGAATAGGGTTGGGAACTCCTCACTGCACCCACTTCTCACTCCCTGGCTGGGCTCCACATTTCTAGAATTTGAGCACACAGACCCTCCTTGCGTGTGCCTCTCTTAAAACCAGGCTGGCGAGAGCCGAGCAGAACAGGCCTGTTCTCCATTCCCAGTGGCCCCTGCTCCTCCTCTATCACGCAGTACAGGGCATCACAGCTCTCAGCTGCCCTCTACCCCACACTGAGGGCAGTTTAGGGTCTTTCCCAAAGCCCTGTCCTGTGTGTCTAGTCAGTATGTGACAAGTCCTGCAGCCCCCTTTCAGCGAGGATCCTGCAGTGTACCATCAGGCTCTGTCCATGCCCCCTTCCCCCAGCTGACACTTGAGTCCTCCCCTGAAGTATGGCAGAGCTGAGGACTCAGTGGTGCTAGTGAGCCCTCATCTGGTCTAGCCCTGTCTCACTAGTCTGTCAACACCCTGACTCTCTGGCTCTTCATATGTGGCCCAACATTGTGTTGCAGCGAGAACGAGGCCCTGTGGCGGGAGGTGGCCAGCCTGCGGCAGAAGCATGCCCAGCAGCAAAAAGTTGTCAACAAGGTGGGCAGGGCTGGTGGTAGGTGGGTCCCCTCCATGACTGGGCCAGGGTGACTGTATCCTCTCTGCCCCACAGCTCATTCAGTTCCTGATCTCACTGGTGCAGTCGAACCGGATCCTGGGGGTGAAGAGAAAGATGTGAGGCTCTGGGGATGCCTGCACTGTCCACTCTGGCCCTGCGCCTTGGTCCTCTGCTTGTTGTATATCCTGGGCACCAGCAAGGTCTGTGTAGGCAATTAACCTGTCTCTTCATTGCAGCCCTCTGATGTTAAGTGACAGCAGCTCAGCACACTCTGTGCCCAAGTATGGTCGGCAGTACTCCCTGGAGCACGTCCATGGTCCTGGCCCATACTCAGTAAGCACCAAACTCTGTGGGACTTCTAGTAAGTGTATCGTGGGTGCTGGGTGGCCCAGGCTACCACAAGTATGCCTTGCATGTGGCCTTTGTCTCTAATTGCAGGCTCCGTCTCCAGCCTACAGCAGCTCTAGCCTTTACACCTCTGACGCTGTCACCAGCTCTGGACCCATAATCTCTGATATCACTGAGCTGACTCCGAGCAGCCCTTTGGCATCCCCAGGCAGGAGCATTGATGAGAGGTGGGGCTTCATCACCCTTATACCTCTTCTGACCCTAGTGGGCCAGTCTTCATGGGCCCTGGGCAGAGCTGGAAGTGGGAGGAGCTAACTTAGGCTTCTTCTAATATGTCTCCCGATATCTAACATGTTTAGGCCCCTGTCCAGCAGCACTCTGATCCGTGTCAAGGAAGAGCCCCCCAGCCCACCTCGGAGCCCTCGGGTACTGGAGGCAAGCCCTGGGCGTCCATCTTCCATGGATACACCTTTATCTCCAACTGCCTTCATTGACTCCATCCTTCGAGAGAGCGAACCTAACCCTGCTGCCTCAAACACAGCCTCTGTGGGCACAACCGGAGTCCATGCCCCTGCTCCTCCTCCCCCCTCTACCCCTGAGAAGTGCCTCAGCGTAGCCTGTCTAGACAAGTGAGTGATGTACCCACCCTGCCTCCCTGTGGCCTCTCAACCCCACAGCATGAGATTTCTTCAGGCTGGACACAGGGTATCTGTGTCTTAGGCACAATCCGTGCAGTTTGCTGGGAGTGATGGGTTGGGTCTGTTCCCCTAACCTGAGAGTAAGCTTTAAGTTGGGGAGGGAGAGCAACCATGTCACTAGAAATGGAATGTGCCCTGCCTCCTGGGCCCCCCTCACTACTGGCATCACCTTCTCTTGTGGCAAGCCGTGTGATCTTCGGATCCGTTGTTCTCCCTAGACCTGACACAGGAAATGATAAGCCAGGGCCCAACCTTGACCACCCCAAAGGCACATCCCAGAGGCTGAGCAAATGAGGAGGGTGGGCATGGATTCCCTCGCCCCCCACCTGCAATGGGGGGGCTCTTGTCTTTGTATCTTGCAGTTTGGCTCGCGCTCCACAGATGTCTGGGGTTGCCCGCCTCTTCCCCTGCCCCTCTTCCTTTCTGCATGGCCGAGTCCAGCCAGGGTTAGCGCTACCCCCACTTGGGAGGGAGGAGGACTCTGCCAGGGCCCCTCCCACGGCCGTGGACCAGTTCCCAACCCGGGCATAGCACTTGCCCTGCCTGGAGAAGAGCACCAGGAGATGGTCTCATGGGCTCTGCATCTCTACTGATTCCCTTTTACACAAGCCAGTAGCTGCTATAGGGACAAGTTTCCTGCCTGGCCCAGCCACCAGTACAGGCTGCTATGATGAGCTTCTTAACAGGGAAGGTTAGGCCCCATGACACCTACAGCCCTTTTAACTGCCTTGCCCATGGCTCAGGTATCCCCTTGGCCTAAGGCCTTCTGATCTAAGGGAGTACAGGTCTACCCATACCAAGCTCAGCCCTGTTTCCTCTTACTGTCTTCTTGGTGCAGTGGCAAGACTTAGCTGAGCCTGAGCTATCTGCCTGTCCTCCTGCCCATTCTAGAGCCAAGCCCGTTGTCCTGTTTCTCCACCACCCTCTTGTCCCAGTCCTAGTTGTTACCAGAGCCTCCTAGGATGTCCTGCCATGCCATATCCCACCCTCAGCTTATACTGTCCTTTCCAGCATCTTCCCAGCGGTCCAAACATACTGTCCCCCAGCCCATGCCGGCTATACCGATGGACCTTGCTTGGGGGGGCTGTAAACAAAGGGGAGCCCTTCTCCAGCAGGAGTGCGGCTGGGTGGGAGCCTGGGGCACTAGTTCACCTGCCCACTTGCCCTGGGCCAGGAACGAGCTCAGTGATCACTTGGATGCCATGGACTCCAGCCTGGACAACCTGCAGAGCATGCTGACAACCCACGGCTTCAGTGTGGACACCAGTGCCCTGCTGGACGTGAGTCTGGTTGTCCCCACCCTCCCTGCCCCACCCTGCCCACAAACCAGCCCTCACTTCCCTCCCTCCTCCTGCAGCTTTTCAGCCCCTCGGTGACCATGCCCGACATGAGCCTGCCTGACCTGGACAGCAGCCTGGCCAGCGTGCGTAGGCGGGCAGGGTGGGGGGCAGAGGGGGCCATCAACAACCCTCATTGTGTGTTCTCTGTCCTGCAGATTCAGGAGCTCCTGTCTCCCCAAGAGCCCCCCAAGCCTATTGAGGCAGAGAACAGTAACCCTGACTTAGGTGAGCTAAGTAAGCTTCTGTTCTACTCCCAACCCTCACTTCCAACTTGCCAGCCCCTACCATTCTGACCCATGCCCCACAGGGAAACAGCTGGTGCACTACACAGCTCAGCCCCTGTTCCTGCTGGACCCTGATGCTGTGGACACGGGGAACAGCGAACTGCCTGTGCTCTTTGAGCTGGGGGAAAGCTCCTACTTCTCTGAGGGGGACGACTATACAGATGACCCCACCATCTCTCTTCTGACGGGCTCTGAACCTCCCAAAGCCAAGGACCCCACTGTCTCCTAGAGGAGTGTCAGGAGATGTCAGGATGGATTGTGGCTGGTCCCCAACCTAGGATGTGGCTGGTCCTGGGGAGACAAGACAGTCGGGCATCAAGCCACCACAACCCCAGTGGAACACAGATGGGGCTTCAGGTCAAGAGGAAGACCCTGAGGGCTGCATACCTGCTGCCTTTACCCCGGCCCCAGGTCTACTCTCTGAGAGAGCTTCACAGCCACACTTGGATGGACCCTGCAGGTTGTTCATAAAATTGTATTTTGGATTTTTACGTGAGAGTCCCCTTTAACCCTTCACAAATAAATAAATATATCTATATCTATATATATATACACACACACACATGGATAGATGATAAACAGGTTCTACTGTGGTCTCCTGTGTTTCCTCCTGCCCTAAGGGATGCGGAAGGTGGAGGTGGAGGCAAGGAGCCCAGACTGCACTACATGCCTCCTTGAGGAAATGCACCCGTGATACCCCTAGGCCCACCTGATACCATAGAAACGGTATTTGCTCACAGCTTTTTCTTTTTGGTGGGGGGTGAGCGGCGGTCTGAAAAGGCTTCTTTGTATAGTCCTGGCACTTGCTCTGTAGACCAGGATGGCCTTGAACTTGCAGGGATCTACCTGTCCCTGCCTCCCAAATGCTGGGATTAAAGCCAATTGCCACTTCCCACAACTTTTACTTCAGGGTCTGAAAACAATCTGGCCCATGTTGTCAACAGCACCCTCCCCATGCCAGATGTATTCAAATGTTCTACATGGGCATGCTGGACATGCTGGCAGAGCCAGGCTCCCACACTAGACTGACTCTCAACTTGTTCCTGATGTCTCCTTATAGTAGGAGAAGACAGGTGAAAATGGCCTCATGGTGGCTTAGGACAGACTGGTGTAGACCCTGTGTCCTAAGGCAGCTGAGACCACTGCATAGCACTGCATGCTCACCTAGTTAAAATGCAGTCTGGCAGCTGATGAGCACTAACCCATTCAGGCAAGGATGAGGACCCTGAATTGCCAATAGGACACCCGTGAAAAAGGCCTCCGTCCAATTTGGGAGGTACTTGGAGGTAAGGTAACTTCAGAACTGTCTACTGTCAGAGCCAAGAGTGGTTTGGAAGAATAGGCCAAGCCCAATTTATGTTTGGTCCCTGTGCAGCACAGCCTAGGGCCACTACAACTTGTTGAATGGCCTGATCCTAAGGATATGAGGCAGATTCTAAAGGTAGTGTGTACAATTCCTGGGCCCCAAGCAGTCAGTGTACAAAGTCCTCTCCATAATTGGCCCCACCTCTCAAGATGCAGATCCAGGTTCCTATACTAGTGGCGCTGTGAAGTTGGGGTGCTTAGAGTCCAACATCAACACAAGTGAGTCCTGCATGTCATCCCTTAAACTAGAGTCCTCACCAGGGTCACCCTCTATTGAGTCCACATGGCTCTGAGCCTTGGTAGTGCATGGATCAGCAGGGTAAGAACTCCTTGGGCTGTCCTAAGCAGTGACAATGCTCAGGGACTGCTCTTGAGCCGCCACTGCTGCTGCGGCTCCTACTGTGTCCTGTTCTGCCGCTTGGTTCACATACTCCATGAGACTAGAGTGATTGGAAACCATGTGACCCAGATCTTTCCAGCACTATATCCTTAAGCTAGGGCCTGAGGATTTCGGTCTCTAAAGCAGTAGCTGCACAGCACATATGGGTGTAGGCCATCTGCAGCAGCTTCCACAACCCAAGTAGGCTGAGGAAGGTTTTAGACAGCACTTTATTGATGCCCTCAGCCCCTGGTCGGCACAGACTCCCAGCACTGGCTTACACCAGCTGGACTCGGGTGCCATCCCCAAGAGCAGGAGTGGGCCCCATAGGGGCAGACAGGCCTCCCAGACTAGGAGGAGTGTGCAGGCAGCCAGGAACCCCTCCAGAACTCCTGGCCCAGGTTAGGGAGGGCTGGCCCTTGGCAGTATCTCAGGCCCCCACTGGGGGATCATAGTTGAGCACGTAGTAGTCATGAACATACATGAGCACAGCCACTGGTTGCCCAATGATGAGTGTCACCCACACAGCTGCATTGCCATAGTTCCCTTGGAAGAAGCGGCCCACAATCCAGGCCAGTGGGATCTGAGGACACATGAGGCTACAATCAGGTGGGAATTGGCACAGATACAGACTAAGGGAAACAAGCTTCACTGAGTTGCTCACCTGAGCCATCATAGCTGTGAATGCCCAGAGGCGGAACATACGCAGGGGAATGCTCACTAGGTACTAGAGTATGGGGACAAGAGGTCAGTGTTTCAGCTGGTGGCCACAGCCCTGCCCAGAGGTGGGTAGGATGTGCCCAGAGCACTAACCTCATGGAAGAAGGCTGAGGCCAGAAATACCCCAGTCCTGGCCAACCATCTGTTGCTGCCCAATCGGAGCAGAGGCTTATAGAAGTGTCTGCAGAGCAAGGAAGCCATAGGATGAGGGTAATGCCATAGTGCCCGGGTCCACAACCACATTTCCACAGGTGTGTACACCACCCTACCTGCTGCACCACTTATGCACAGGGATATTCCAGTTCTGCCAAAAGTAGGTGACAGACTCAGCATTCCTTGGGGTCAAGAAACAATGGGATAAGCATAACATGCCGTGACCTTCCCAGATTCCCAGAGACACACCACTCACCACCAGTCCCGGTAGAACTCTCTGTCTCCAAACTGCATGAGCTCTGCCACAGCATTCAGGCAGGAGTGGAAAAGCCAGTAGAAGAAGATAAGCCAAATCAGATGGTTGGGAACCTAGGGGAGACAGGGCTCCAGGTTGAGACTTCCCAATTATCTCTCACACTTATCCCACTAGAGCTTGGACACTCACCGCCAGCTTCAAGAGCCGCTCAATAATACGTGAATAGTCCATATCCTGTGGAGAGAGGCCGCCTCAGCTGGATGTGTCATCTACCCTATCCACCCCTGCCACACTGGAACCAAACCTTACCTTGAAGGGCTTCATGGAGTTCTGGATAGTAGGGACCATCCACTGCAAAGGAAGAACATTATTGTTCCTCTGCCATGCCAAGCCTGCCGTATGCCCACCACATCACTTACCTGTTGGATCAGCCCCACTTGAAGCTGGGTGAAAAAGAGCTGGGGGAAAAGAACAGCCAGCTGAGACTTGAGTTGCACCAGCCAAGCCCTGCCATACCCACCCTCACAGCCCAAACTCACCATCTCAAGAACCCGTCGTAGCAGAAAGCGCTTTCGTATTCGGGGGGACCGAGGAAAGTTGAGTTCATAACACAAAGTAGGAGCAAAAATGAAGTAGTAGAGATCTAGAAGGGAAGGGTATGTTCTAGGACTGCATAGCCCTGAACCTGACTTGACAGTCCTGCCTCTGAGAGCCCCAACTCCACAGCTCCTCACCTCGGTAGTTCAGATTGTCTGGGTAGCTCACAGTTTGCTGAGCAGTCGCCCCACTGACTTTCTTCCCTGCAGAAACTGCCAGCAAAATAAGACAGCAGGGTGAGCCATGCAGCCCGGGCTTAGTCCCACAGGCAAACCCTAGTCCTGACAGCCTCCTACCAGCTTTGGCCTTGACCCTTCGCTGGCGGCACCACAGGTTGACATCCCGGTAGGAAAACAGCTTGAGGAAGATGATGGAGTATGATGCCAGAGCAAACACGGAACCCACTGCAAGACAGACGCACCAGTCATGTCTGCCATATACCACAGTTAACATAGCTATAACCACGCCCATGTCACATGAACAACCTGGAGTCAGCTCAATATGGGGTGGGATGGTTGGGATGGAGGCACACCTGGAGTGATGGATTCAACCAGCAAGGCCACAGCTGCTGGGAAGCAAATGATGGTGGCTAGGTTAACCACATGAAGCAGCAGCCCCATCTGCTCTGTCAGGGCACCCTGGAGAATGAGGGAGACAGCATTCAACCAGGTCCTCTGCCCTGGGAGAGGACTATTAGGCCTAGTAAGAAAAGCCTATATTGCCTGGAGGTGGTGGCACACGCCTTTAATCCCAGCACTCGGAGGCAGAGACAGCCTGGTCTACAAAGCAAGTTCCAGGACAGGCTCCAAAGGTACACAGAGAAACCCCATCCCAAAAAACATAAGCCAAATAAAAGAGTCTATTACAAGCAAGTCATCAGTAACTGTGGGGGGCAGGGGTTGGGGGGACCAGCACCAGCACCACTTACCACTGCCAGACGCTTCTCAATCTGAAATGCAGCCACAGGAAAGATATTGGATGCTGAGGACAGAAGCATCACAGGACAGGTTCAGGCCCTGGTCAACCTGTTCCCCCACCCATGGCCCTTCTTGGAGTACAGCTCACCGATAATCAGACACGGGGCAGGCCAGCTGTAGGGGTCCTTCAGAAACAGAGACACCACCTGGATGGGATCCACCAGGATGCCATACCTGGAGGTGGGGCAATGGGGGCCTGAGTAGAGGTGGGTCTCACGGCCTGAGCAGGCAGGGGTGAGGTAAGGGACCTGAAAAGGTACTCACTTGATGAGGTTCTCTAAAAATAACCTGGCATTACTCAGGATCTGCAAGAGATAATCAGGAGGGTCAGCCCTCATGGTGCTAACACAGTCCACCTGACCCCAGCACCTCTGGCAGTTACTCTTGCCTAGGGTACTGGTCTCTTCAGTGCCTAGTTGAGAGACAAGAGGCTACAGCAGGTCTTGAAGGCAAGACAGGCAGCAGAAAGACCCATCAAAGCAGAAAAGAGCAGGGGTAGGGTTTTCTGTACCAGAGAGAGTCAGCTACTCTAACAATACTCAAAGTTCCAAGAGTGTGGTCCGTGGTAGCTCATCTGAGGACTGAGGCTCTTGACTCTAGCCTAAGACACTCAGTATTTGGTTTCCATCCTCATCCATCTCACAAGCACCAGACACAGGGCTGGAACCACCAGCCTGGCCAACTACCTAAACAGATGGAAGCAGTGAACAATACTGACAAGGGAATGCAGAGCTAACCAAAGCCTAAAGCTCTGTCCAGGGAAAAGGTGCTGAAATCATCAGAAAACTTTCATGGCACAATAGGGCAGAGTCCCTTCCACACTAGATAACCAAAGAAGGCATGCCTAAAGCAGGAACTAACACTTCTGGGCAAGGGCAATAGGTATCAGACCATAGCTGGGTGTTAGAGCTTATCCTCATGCATGCTGGGCAAGCACTTCCCCCACCCTTTGCCCCTGACCCACCCATCAAGCTGTCCCTTTGAACCTTGGACTCCAAAGGCTTCCGGGGTGGAGATGCATAGCCCCAGTAGGAACAAGGCCCTAGGGGCAACAAACTTGGTATAGCATCCCAACCACCAATACCCAAGGCTGAAAG